CACTATCTAAAGATTTGCATCGAAGCGTTTATTTTTGATAGTGATTTTAATCACTGTCAGATATCATTATACTTGATCCAACTATACCACGTCACAACTGTGCCGCGACCCCCTGTGCTGGGTTTTTTTAATTTGAAGAATAATTGTTAAAATAAAAATAAATTTAATGTTTACAAATGTATTTAAATAGTGTAGTTTTGGTATTCTAGTACTATATGGTAAACCTGAAATTTTCATGTTGGCACATAGAAACAAAAATCATCATTAAAATGAAGTTTTTTAATTTATAAAATTTTATTTAATCGACTATGTATACCGATAATAAAAAATAGCCAATATACTAAAAAAAAAGTTAAACTCTTATACTGAATGTAAATTATAATGATTTTACCTTAAGTATTTAAAGTTTTAACAATTAATGAACGATGAACTTGCTATTGCTTTATTTATTTCTTGGAAGTTGACCGTTGTGAAATTATTATTGAAGTTAAACAAGTAATAATGCATTTTTTAATTCCTGAAAAAATAACTTATATAATAAAAAATAAATAATTATTATTACAATACTGTTGCANTAAACAAGTAATAATGCATTTTTTAATTCCTGAAAAAATAACTTATATAATAAAAAATAAATAATTATTATTACAATACTGTTGCATAACAATGAAAATTACATAAGATCAAGTTCCAGATTATTTATATTGAGAAACGAAGGTAATATATACACTTCAGTACATTTCCTCAGAAAATGGATAAAAGGAATTTTGTATGGGTAATGCATTTGAATAATGTAAAAGACAGCAAATCCTAGAATTGTAAAATGACAGAGTGTACATTATAACGCAGAGTTATGTAATAGTAAGATAGTTACTAAAAATAGCTTTGCGTAACATTGCAACATATGTAACTGTGCAATAAACATTTTTAAAATTTATATTAACTATTAATGATAACGTAAATGGTTATTAAAAAAATGATCATAAATCTAAAATAAGTTTAATCTAAAAAAGAGGAAGTTTTAAACTGAGAAAAAACTCAATGGAAATATTTTTAAATCAGAATATCGGCAAAGAAAAAAGTGTAACACCAAGTCCATAATTATTATAAATGATCAGATCAAATTTTCTGCAGAATCAAAAAGAAAATTCACCGGATTGATGTCATAATTTTAATTATTTTTGTTAGTTTTTCTGTAATTAAGAAATTCAGGAAGTTTCACAAATTATAAGATAAGCATGGCCATACTTAGTTTACGAACAGTTGGACGAAACCGTAATGCACAAAACTACCGAGAAAACCATGCGGGCGATTACACTAAAATTAAGATTATCTAGCAAAAGTATGTTTTGTCATTTACACAATTAAGATTTATAATGTATGTTCTGTGCTAATAAAAAATAATCATATTTTAAATCTATTGTTATTTCTAGTACAAGAAAATTGTATGCAAATAGTGAGTATCTTAATTGGATATAAAAAACAACCATATCAATAATTAAAATTACAGATGAATGTCAATAGTCATGCGCTTGGTACGATTATTATTGCGCTTATGTACAGTTCCGTACTCGGAGGATCTATGTGGTCTGGACTTCCTTTCTAAATAATATATTTTCCCGATTTATACTATTGTTATTAAGTTAATTTGATAGTAACATACAAAAAGGGTAATATTTTTTATTAGTTATCTGAAATAGAAAAACTATCATAGAATAATAATAAAATTATTTTTGAGAGTCTTGCAGTACTGCCAAATTATTGATGTATTCCCCTGGATTGATAAACTATATTNTAATTGAGTGGGTTATGATAAAAAAATCACCCTGTATATATATATATATATCAATATAACTTAATGCAACAAAATTAAGACTGATTGTATTCATACAAAATAACAGTTTGTTTTTAATCTTTCCAAGTATTATGTTGACATATTACAAAACAATCCAAGTATTTCTATTATAAACATAATTAAAGAAGTTCAATGAATTGAACCTTATTCTTAATTTTATTCCCACGTCTAATTTTCGATATTAAATTGTTATGAAATGTATATACATACATACAGTGGCAGCTCGTGGGTGCTGATAGTGGTGATGCGACATTAAATATATTACCTCTAGTCATAGATTTAAAAAATTGTCAAATTAATATAATAAAACAAAACACAATACACTTATTATTATTTTAAAGGTCGTAGTAGAAAATAGAAAGGAAAATAATAACAATAATTATAATAGCGACTATACTATAATAGCAACCGATAACGACAAGCAGTTAATTCTAAAAATAAATTACCCTTAATAGTAATANATAACGACAAGCAGTTAATTCTAAAAATAAATTACCCTTAATAGTAATATACTAATATTGTACCGTATGGACGACGCTGCTGGTCGGCCAAACACTGCTCGTGTGTGTATGCGTATCCGCATATTCTGAGGGAACAACTTTAATGTTCGTACACAACAAATGTATTATAACTACTTTACTATTTAAAAATTTGCATTTTTAATAAAAATGTAGAATCAAGAATGTACAATTAATTTTCTTCTTTTAATTAATTTTAGTAGGGAGTGCGATCGTCCCTATTCAAACCACGAGCCGCCACTGCATACCTACATATATGTATGCTTGACATATTATTTATATAGAAAAGTTTTATTAATTATAGTTTTATATAAATATAACACATCACAAGACGGATAAAAATTGTTTAATGTAATGAATAATATTAGTTTTATAAGAAATATAAATTAAACGATAAGTCGGAGACATTTTGATGGGATCTCAAACATAAAATAATCCAGTTCCCATTTAGTTTAAATACTATAATTAAGAATTATGTCCTATAATAAACTAAAAGAACAATTAAGATTAGATACTTTTCTCTTGGTAATTATTCTGTATATCATTTATTTTACATTTAGGGACCATTAAATAAGCGGATTCTGCGCTATCACTTCGTTTCACAATTAATTTGTTTTCAATTAAATAAAAAAAATATGATACAAGCCAATATTGTTACAATTGGATAAACATAATCAAAGTTTTACGATAAAATAGAAGATGTCATGTTTCATAATTGAGTAAATAATTATTAACGATCACAAAAGTCAGTCTAATCTGTATAAAGAATGATTGAATTATGATAAAACACTCAATTTCTCGGAAACTATTAAAAATTTTTAATTTTTTTAAAAGAAAAAATTGTTTGATACAAGAAACACTACAATAATATGTAGTTATATCGTTATTTTTTTATCTCTTCAGGGATAAAAACTTTAATTTTCTTTAATGAAAACCCCCATTTTTAGTTTAAAAAAAATTAAGTTTAGATCTTTTATCCATGAAAAGATAAAAATAATTATTTCATTACATAATATTGTACAGTTTCTTGAATCAAATTATTTCTCTTAACAAAATTTGAAAATATTCTGTAGTTTTTGATGAAATGAGCGTCTTATTTTCAAACATTTACACAATATACAAGTATGTTATTGATTATTTATGTTTATGAAAAAGTTTTATATTGATTTTAATATTTATCTTAATAGTGATAAAAAATATATTAATAAAGCTTTTCTTAACAAATAAAATCTTCTTTTTACACTTCAACAAATATAATATTTTTGAAAATATAACATTATATAAATTGTAGTGATTTTTCATAACTTAATTGAAAAATAATATTAAACGTAACATAGTATATGTTTTTTTGATCAAAACTTATTCTCTTCTCTTTGAAATTGAATTATTTTTCGAGTACTAATATTATATGAATATATTTTTCTCGTATTCATTATTTGTCTAAATAAATGACAATTAATATGAGAGTCTAACAGGTAATGCCATAGTATTTTATTAACCAAAAATTAATTATCTTTAAAACATTAGCTTAATGTTTGCTACCAATTAAGCCATTAACAATGATAATGGTGTATTTAAATAATTAATGATATTACATGACACAATGGATACATATGATAACACATATAAACTAAATAATCTTCAATTAGTATAAGCGTTTAATACAAAGTTTATATTATTAGAAGTTTATGTGTTTGAACAATAAATTTTCAAGTAACTTTGAAAAAGTTCATTACAAATTTATGATAAAATCACGAAATTGATAAAAGAAATATTACCATATTTTGCAAGTTCCCATAGAACCCAATGACCTATTTTATAATTTAATAATGTTACTGAAACCAAATTCAATGACACAGAGCTCGAGGGTCAGAGTTAAGCACCTGACTCTCTTTCTTCAATGGACTTTTGTTCAAGAGTCCTTTAACGGATTTATATTCTTGTTGATTTTTTAGCATCTTCGTTTACTCGCCATATTTTTCGTGGATAATGATGAGTTAGCGGTTCTTTAAAAACTAAGTACGCTCCATATTTCGGCACGTCTTTTGTAAGAATTAAGTAGACGGTTATAACATCAACTATTTATTCTAATGATCAAACTTTCTGTTGTAGGGAGAGGAAAAATACCAAAAGTGTAATATAGTAATAATATTATATTCTAAAATAACAATACAAATTTGAGATGAATTGTGGGAGATTAAGCGCATTGTCATGACTAAGAAAAAATACTATACTACTATTTTTGAAAATATACGATTGCAAAATATATGTTTATTGTTATTATTACTGATTTTATCTTCTAAAAGAAGGTACCTTATGGTATAAAGAACGAACCACGAGCGTAGTTTATATGTGGGTTTTGGGAGCTTTCTCAAATAATCTATACTTGTTTGGGGGGATACAAAGCAAACATACAAAAGAAAATCATGAATTCTATTCTCAAATCAGTCATGTAAAATATTCAAATGAAAGTATTCGAATAAAAGAATTTTAACAATTTTTTTTGTATTTGATATAGTGTATTGATTTTTTTTTTAAAAATATGTATTCTAAACATTTTTTTTGTATTTTTATATTATATTTAATAACTTCAACTACCGTTAATTATTAACCTCCTAAATATCTGGTCAATCAAACTAAATTTAAAAAAATTGTTAAAGAATTTTTATCATTTGCTCAATATTTATAGATGTCAATTATATTACTTAATAGTTAAAGTTTAAATATTATGAATGTAATGTATTTTTTATTTTTGTAAATTGTTATTTATAGCAATTTCGATAAATAAACAAATATTATTATTGTAAATTTGTATACTAACATTAAGCTTAGAATTAAGACTAATTTGATATTAATTAAATTATTGTTTAAAAATGGTCATAGTGTTTATTAATTAATTAAAAACTTCCATAACCTTACTTTTTACTCTTGTACATAAAATTTTAATCATTGTCTACTATAGCCATAATATGTATAAAATAATATAACTTCAATTACACTTTAGTTCATTTTTTAATAACTCACTTTGTATCACCTAAATTAAATAATAAACACTTTTAATTATAGATGTTCCTGGTAGAAAATGTATGTACAAACTGAATACTGAGTAAAACTAAATCGAGTATTGGGTAAAAGTTGGGAAACAATTAACACACAATCCAAGTATTTCGAGTAATTACTAGGTACTCGAAACATCTTTGTCCATAGTATTACAAATATTACTTGTTTGTTTCAAAAAAACTATTAACCTTAAAATTTTTTTTTTAAATATTACATAAAAATTGCAATTAAACATTTTTAATTTGTAAAACAGTTTGGATTTTAAAACAAAATAAATATCATACACAAAAGTGTCAACAATTTTACGAATAACAATTTTAAATTGGTTGTTTTATAGGTTAATATATTTTTTTAATGAAATTGAAATTGCGTGTCGCATTGCATTTAAAAATTTAAATTCCTACGGGAATTAGTTACACCTTAGTTTTTTATACAAACTGTATTTAACTTTTCAGAAAATTTAGAAAATAGCCGATATTTATCATAATTGAAGTCGTAACCGTAAATACAATGTATGAAAAATTCACATACACCAGTAGACAAATTGGTTTCCAATTACTGAATATAAGTACATCCATATAACTGAAAATTTAAAGCATCCAAAAGGAGTAATTTTGTTTATTTGTGATGTATGAGTTTAATGGTAAATTTTAAAACTCTTGTGTTGACATTTAAGTGTACTTTTGAGCAATCAAAATACTGTTCAACTATAAAGCGTTTTCAGTTATGAACTTAAATATAATCTAGCAGGTTGTTTTTTGATGTCACTAAAAGTACTAAAATTCGAAAGTAAATGAAATTATCAACTATATTTCCACTTATTAAAAGTTAATTCGTAATAATAAATCTGTTACACAATTTTGAAATTAAATAAATCATTATTTGTTTGATAACTAGACGAGTTACCTTGTATATTTTACATGTTAGTTTTATATACAAGTAGTGAAATTTCCTCATAAAAGTCCCAATTTGGTATATTAGTAAAAGATTTTTATAAAATTAATGTTCAAATATTTCCCATACGTCAAATGCGTTAAAAATGTCTAATGAACTTATGTTATGTAATTTTATAATTCGTATTATTTTAAAGAGTGTTGAAATGTTTAAGAAAAGTCTTTTTTTGGAATAATGAATCTTATTATTCAATGATAAATTAAAAAATTTGACTTAAATGACATTTAATAATCATTTTATTTTAGATAAATTAAAATAGCAGATTTTGCGTAATTGACAGAGGTAAACAATAAAAACTGTATGCGACGGACTAGTCGAGACAAAATGAGGTAGGGGCGATCCTATCCAATAATGTAGCCGACATCATTTTTGAGAGATGTAAGAGGACTTAAGTCCGTTTATTAATGACACAACAGTTTTAAGAGAATTTATGTACACATCTTTAATAAAATAAAAACTGTATTACATTCGTCTGCGAATCACATAGACGAGAATAAAAGACCTCCATGTATTGCTGAGATGGTCAGGAAAAGACTACCTCTTGTAAAACTGTCGAAGGCCAAACGATATTTGGTGAACTTTATATCCTCGAGTCGTAAACAAGAGACAAGCACTTAACTATTACTGATCACATAGAAAGGTGGTTGATAAAGTGAGATTCGGGCAGGCGTTCTGTATAACACAGACCACACAGTATCATATCATATATAAATTATTAATTACTCCATTAATGAAATTATGAATTCTGGTTGATAAAACGGACACGTTAAAGAACCATCATAATATACATAACATACACATAACCTATCATATTTAATAGGTTTGTAAAACAGACATACTACTTTTGATGTAAGCTAATTTAATTTCACTTCTTTTTAAATTGCTTTTTTTAAATGACATGGTGTAATTAAATAATAATTTTACTAGAACCAACAAATTTAAAAAATCTGAAATAATAAAAAAAAAGGTTTACTACAAATATTTAATCTAATTAATGTACGTTGAATATGAGTATTTTCTTCAAAACCAACGAAAGTAATTTTTTTAGTTGCATAAATAGTTAACATAAAATTTTGTTTGTTTAAGTCGATTAAAGAAATATTTATTGCTTATAAACTACATCGATAATACGTTAAATATTCCCTAAATTTAATGAAATTTGTCTTAGTAAGTTACTGTAATATTAAGATAGTTTGCACAACATATTAATAATTATTAACTACTAATTCATACCATGCTCTGCTTTATTACACAAATAGAATATATTATAACATTATCAACGAGATAAACAAGATCCAGGAATTGTTTTCAAATTATACATAAAGCAATTGAAGACATTAACTGGTATTTTTCAAAGTTAACAATATAGTTTTAAATAATTAATGTTGTAACGTTTTATTAAAAATTCGCAATATAGCATTATATGATAAATTCTGTTCAATCCAGGTTTAGAATTAATCAAATATAAAAAATGGACCGATGCATTACAATTAAAAATAAATTTCACACTATTTTGTTAATTATTTTTGCTCCATTTAGAAAAAATCAGCATATTAAAGAAAAATCGTTCTTTTGATAGAAAAAAAAATAAAGTTGTATTTTAAACATTTTTTTAATATTATTACATTTTATAAATTTGTTCAAATATGGAATTGTTCTTTGTTATTAATAATTATAAGTAAAAAACATAGTATGATTATTATTTTTAGAATTAACATATTTTACAATAAGTTTTCGCGTAATTTATACCTGTTTTGTAGGTGTTTTTCTTAGAAAACTTTTAAGGTTAGAAACCGACCGGTAAATATTTGCTATTGTTGCCAATAATCTAATTAAAATGGACGATATACGTGTATCTTTTAACACAATTCTCTCTGACCAACAATCTTTAAACGATTTATTTACCCATTGTAAATAATTATATTTAATGCATCAACGATTTTCACTATTATAATGAAATCCTGCCCTGTGTGCATAAACACGTCGTCAAATTATCGTATAAACATAACTCTGATACGTGTGAAATTCTCAGAATAATGTTGAGATAACCCTGAGACGTTTAATGCTCAATTTAATGAAATTAGTGCATACAAAACTTTAAATATGCTTTTTCGTATACATCACAATGTTAACACTATGCGATGTTCATTAGATGTCTAATACTTCTTTGTGAATTTACTTAAAATGCATTGTTATTTTGAAATCGCACCAGAAAACAAATAAAATCTTATCTAATATCTTGTCGTAATATTTTGTAACTCCATTTAATTTATTCACATACACTTTTAAACACGAAACTCATAACTTTCTCATTGTGATATATTTGTTTTTAAAATTACTCGAAATCACATAACTGTAAAAATGTGCTGTCACTCTGAGAATAAAATCAGACATTACATCGATTTCGACGTTATCTTAATGCGCATAGGGTAACTATGATGAAATATTTATTTATTAGGCAAATTATTAGATTTTCTGATCCAAATTAAAGTTGAAAACTTTTTAAGTGTTCAATCATTATGCAATATGTTATCTCTTTGTACTTGTATATTATGTAAATTCAATATTAACATTATTGGGGTTGTACTTCTCTGGAGTACCTGCAAATATCAGAGTTACAGTTTATAATATAGTTCAAGTATAAACTATTGGATATAACAAAAAAGCGACTTTTGATTATGAATTTGTAATAGTCAAAAAACTTTTTATTAATGATTCAATAAAAAAAATAAATATATAAATCAATTTCATAATTATGAACTTAAGTGTCTTCGTGTGTTGTAATGTACATTTAATTTTGCATGTAAAAATAAAAAAAAAAATATATAAAGAATATGAAGAAATGTCTACAGTAATTTTATAAAAAAATAATTTATATATTGTAATGTTTTTTTTTTTAATTTTTTTTAATTATTATCATATTATTTATGTATTAATTATTTATTAATTTGTAGTTATGTTTTACCATAAAATGATCAAAAATCTAAAAATGTTTACATATAACAATAATTAAGTTATAATTAAAATTAAAAAAAAAACACGTATCAATAAACTTCAATATATCTTGTGACATATTATAAAACAAAATTCTGTTCATATTAAATTATTCTTAGATACACAAAAGAATTGATTTCCCTGGAGATATTCTGCTATATTTTCAGTAGAAATTTCAAAAACTATATATATATTTCTGAGTATAAAAATTCGATAACAATTATATGTTTAAAATGTGTCTAAAACTAATTTTAAAATATTATTAAAACATTGTTTAGTAATAAACAATTTTTTAAATAAATCAATGTCAATTTAGTTTTAACATTTAGTTTTAATAATATAACAAGTAATTTAATTCATTTACTTACAAAATTGTCAGAATATCATTGCCTTGTTAATATTGTCATTTCTCTGACATTTTAAAACTGGTAAGTGTTATGAGTGCAAACGAACCACAAAATATTAAACATTTATTCATTGAATTAAAGAAGTAGTTTAATAATTTTAAAATTAGAGTAAAAAACTTGTTTTACCAACGCCATCGAAAATTTAATTAAAAAAGTTGGCACTATAAATAAAACTATTACATTTCAATTATAAAAGTTTGAGCCTTATTCAAAAGGTATAAAAATAATAGTAATCAAATAAAATATTGTTTAATACAATCAAATTAATAATGAAATATGCTTACCTGAGAACACGAAGTTCACGAGTGAATAGCTTGTACAATTGAATGTCCCGCGTGATTGTGAGGAAAATGCGCATATCCATTTTCCAGTTGATTCATTGGCTGTAAACATTTTAAACGAAATAATAGTGCACATGCAAAATAAATATAACCCTCTTTTTTACTTTACACTATACAGTGCAAAATAACATTTTCTTTCATTGTTATGCCTCAGACACATAAACTGATCAATTGAATATTAAAATAAAATGAAAAACGGAATATGCAGTTAACTAATTCCAATTACATTTTCATTAAAATTTGTTGTCATAAATTCCAAATTTTTTTTTAAATATCACAATATTATTTATAAAAAATACAAGTCAATGTAACATAAAATGATTTCAAAAGCTTTAAGTATAACACTGCAGAAAATGTTTTGCACTAAACTAACTTATAGTAAAATTTGTGTGGAATTTTGTCGCCAATTACGAATTTATAAATTTATGAATGTTACGAAACATCAAAATAGTCAGGTTGATTATAATTTTTGAAATAATCACTAATAGTGAAAATGAGGTAATCACGTAATTAAATAATCATTCAAAATAAAAATAAAATTTTTTCAAACTTCAATAAATTATATTTTAAAAGATACGTGTATACTGATACAATAAGTTCAATCTATTAATATATGTCTTCATATCTGATTTTGATTGCTATAAAAACAAAATTAAGTTGAACTTATACCCATAAATTTTTTCATTTGAAATTATAACTATATTAATATTAATAAGTATTAATTTAAAATTAAAAAGTGTTAGAAATATTTTACATAAAAAATGACTAAAAAATCGTGGATATTTCGGGAACAATGTTACTATTACAACGTTAACACATGCAGCTAAATTTATACAGCTTCTTTCAGATTAATATATAAGTGTGAGACAATAACCAATTAACAGAAAATTAAATTTAGTTAGCATTATTAAAAGATGATATAATTAGAATTAATGATGAAAAATAAGAAAATCTCAAAATTATACTATATTAGCTATTTATTAAAATTCTTACAAACTTCATCATAAATTAAATAAATAGAAATTATTGTAAACCACCTTATATACTTTTTGATGCTGAAAAAAATAGTGTAACTAAATTTCACGTATGTTAATTATTTATTAAGGGAAAGGAATAATTCTTAAACACGCAAACATATTATATTTAACTGGCTACTATGAAAACTACATATTTTGTAAGTTCAATTTATCATATTTCTGTTTACTATTTTTCTTCAAAATTTTATACATAAAACTTTTTTTGTAGGCTTTCTATTGTATTATTGTAGGGTATTTTTATATAGATTCCAGCAATAGTCTGCTATTATGTTACAGTTTGAGTGACCTAGATATCGTTCTTTAATTATTCTGATATCTTGATGAAATTTTTCACTCTGTTCTTCACTATAATCGCCCAAGTTGTCAAAAAAGTAGTGTCAGTAATTTTTCGCATACCATTTTTGATATTTTATTGTCCAGTGTTATTTAAATGATTTATAAAAAGAAAATAATTTAATATAACAATATTAAACAATTATAATTATGACAGTTTAATATATAACAACTATTATAACTGAAAAATATCTTCAAATAATTCTAATTTTTTTATTTCTCCAACACAAAAAAGTGTTTTATGTAATCATTAGTCATTTAAAAAATTGTTGTAAATTTTAAACCATATTCTTGTAAACAATAACTATTATGGAGAATATTTTTTAATTACATTTTTCAGAATGTTATACATTTTGTATTGCTTATACATATTGTTAGTGACTCTTATAAAAAGATAATGAATAATTTATTCCTTTATTCTAATTTAATTAAATTTTTATTTGTAAAAAAGTTATAGAGTTTAAATTTAATTATCCGTTTAACTTTGACTTTCACAAAAAAGGTTGCTCATGTTGTATAATACATATTTTAAAAAGCTTGCCGNAATTTAATTATCCGTTTAACTTTGACTTTCACAAAAAAGGTTGCTCATGTTGTATAATAAATATTTTAAAAAGCTTGCCGTATACATCAAGTCTATAAAATAACAATACAATTTCAAATTTATGTCCAAAATATGATAATTCTAGTATAAAATTTTAATTGACCAAAGTACCTTACAGAATTTCAAAAATTTAATTTAGTTAATAAAATATTGATAATTATTTTAATATTTATCAAGTAATAATGAAATATGAATTTAAATAACGAATGCAAAAATCCAATTTTTTTAGGAATAATGAACTACAGCTAACAACATATTTTTCCTTACTAATTATATTCTGATGTATTTGACATTAAGTAGAAAAAAAGATGAAATTAGTAAGCTCATCATATAAATTTTCTTGTCTCAATGCAAACTTTAGATTTTTCATAATAATTGTAATTAGTGATGTTCAAACTCTGATTATTCTTATTATTATTATCTGAACCAAATATCAATTATAATATTATTATTACAATAATTATATTAAGTTTTAGGAAAAACAATTTACTAATTGAAAATTTAATAAAAATCTATCTAACCCATTCGAAATGTTAGGATAATATAAAATACGCGTCACAATTACTTTTTGTTCCCTCACACTATTTGGTGTACTAGCTGCACTCCATTTGATTCGAAGCTGAGAAGACATTAATTTTACTATGATGTGTGTTTTATTATTATTATTTTTTTTGTGTTTGTTACCACTTTTTCTCAGCTCTCACCGAACCGATTTCTTTCAACGATACGTCAAAAGATCACAAATCGTATATAGCCGAAGACATTACCCACAAGAATTGAAAAAATTTCCCTCGTTTGCCGTAAACGGGGGAAATCTTCAAAAAGATTACAAATTTAAAAATCGCTTATTTTCGAGATTTTTTTTACTTAAAACTACCATAACTTTTTTAAAAATACCTAAATCAATTTAAATTTTTATATTTTTTAATTTATAATACTTTAACTATTTGAAAAATTTATAGATCAATATTTTTTTTTTTTATAGATGCATAACGTCTTTACCTGTCATTTGGTATATTTTTTTTATAAATCTAACACTTTACTTGCCCACAGGGGGGATTTTAAATGATAACTCTTTCACAAAAAATTAACTTTTTCAACTTAACTTTTGAAAGTGTTCCGGAAAGTCTCACACTTATATAAATCTCAAATTAAAGTTAATGTAATGTACTTTATTATGAAAAAAAAATTTCGCACTTTATTTTGTCTTCATGGTGAAAATTGCTACTATATATTATTATTGTGTTAAAATTCTCGATTTTATATTTTACATTTTTAACTTTATAATGCTATAACTTTTTGAAATATGTATGGATTCATACAATTATTTAATGAGAAATAATATTTATATACTTATTTCATTCAACATATATTTTTTTAAATTGGACCATTTCCCTTAATACATGGAGGGTTTAAATCTAAAAAATGCATATAGAAAGTAGAACTGTTTCAAATTGACTTTTGAAAGTGTGACACTTATATATTATGTATATATACATTAAATTAAAGCTAATAATTTATTGTGGAAAAAAAATTTCATACTTCTTTTGTCATTACGGTGAAAATAGATATCAAAGTTTATAAAAAAAATACGATTTTTATAAAAAAAATTATTTTTTATATTTTTAATTTTATAATGCTATAACTTTTTTAAAAATGTATTGATCAATACAATTTTTTTTATGATAAATACTATTTATATACCTCTTTCATTCTACATACTTTTTTTTTTTTTAATAAAACCATTTCCTTTCAAATATTCATTCATATATTACAATTATAAACCATAAAACCTGTAATCCGAATATAAATAAGGAAATAGGAAATCATATAGCTTTTGGAATAATCTAACAATTTTTTTTAATTAAACACTATCTACAGATATGCATCGATGCGTTATTTGTGATTGTGATTTTAATCACTGCCAGATATCATTATATTTGACCCAACTTTGCTACGTCCCTACTGTGTCGCAACCTCACTATGGTGGGTTTTTTTATTCCACTTCTGTGTTGATTAACTTGACTATCTATTTCTCTTATAACCTAATAATATAATTTTGTTATCAAAATATATTTTTCATCGTAGTAAGTTTTAACCTATCCATGAAAAGTTCTAATAAAATTGTTATATCTATTGGAATACACAGAAATAATCTAATACGTCAAAAGAAATGAACGTATAATTATTTTGAATAGTATGACCTGATAGTTTTTAAACTAATATATAAGTCAATATTATTTTTAACTGAAAGATATCGAATATTTGAATTGATGATTATAATCTTACTAAAAGTTTAACCAAATTTTAAGTCGTGGCTTTAATATTCGATTCAATAGGTTACATATAATTTCTTAGCTTATGTATTTTTAGAAAAGCATATAGTTAAGGAATATGAGAATTTGAAATTTAAATGAAAAAACTGAACTTTATAATTAAATAATTAATTTTGAATTATTAATAACATTTGTAGGCTTCCTTATCATTTTACTTAATGGATTCCTTTTAATATCTTTATAGAGACTCTCTTGAATAATTTTTGATACTCTATTGAAATAATCTTCTTTTTCAGTATTACTATGGAATTCCCGTTATCTGATTTTAAAATTAGTTTTTAATATTTATGTCGTGAATGAGTTATGAATGTTATTCACTTTTTTCTAAACTCCCTGTACTTAAAACAGATTTTTTATTGTTTTTTACAACATTTAAACACTATTAACTTTTTAAGTCTTAATTGTTAAAATTAACATTTTTAACCTCATTTCAATATTTACTAGGTTGCCTTCCAACAGAATTTTTTTCAGTAAAAAATTCCTTACACAGTATGAATAAGATTCACAATCATAAATTAAATTAGAATCTACATTTAATTTATAACTGTATAGTTAAATTAATATTATAATAGATAATTTATTATACAACTTTTTAAATGTGAAAGTTATTAATATAAATTGTGTGTATCAGAATCTAATATACTAAAAAAAGTATTGGTTTTGAACACTATCAAAAATTATAATTATTGTGTTATTTTTCTATGATTTATAATTAAAAATAAAGTTTTTATT